ATTTCATCAAACATACTCTGAAGGACCTAAAAACATATATAGACTTCAACACAATGGTAGTGGGAGACTTTAATACCCCCCTATCACCAATAGATAGGTCATCCAAACAAAAAAATCAAAGAACTTCTAGAACAAAATCACACCATAGATCAAATGGACCTAGCTGATGTCTACAGAATATTTAATCCAACTTCTGTAAAATATACATTCTTCTCAGCAGCCCATGGAACCTTCTCCAAAATTGATCATATCTTAGGGCACAAACCAAGCCTCAGCAAATATAAGAAAACAGAAATAATCCCATGCATTCTATCTGATCACAATGCATTAAAAGTAGAAATCAACAACAAAAACAACGGTAAAAAACATGCAAACAACTGGAAGCTGAACGACACCATGCTCAATGATCAATGGGTCATTGATGAAATAAAAGAGGCAATTAAAAGTTTCCTGGAAGATAATGAAAACACGACCTACCGGAACAAATGGGACATAGTAAAGGCAGTCCTAAGAGGAAAGTTTATAGCCATGAGTGCATATATTAAAAGGACAGAAAGATCTCAAATCAATGACCTAATGCTACATCTCAAACTCCTAAAGAAACAAGAACAAGCAAATCCCAAAACAAGCAGAAGGAAAGAAATAATAAAAATAAGGGCCGAAATCAATGAAACAGAAACAAACAAACAAAAAAAACCATACAAAGAATTAATGAAACAAAAAGCTGGTTCTTTGAAAAAAATAAGTAAGATTGACAGACCCCTGACAAACCTAACTAAAATGAGGAGAGAAAAAAATCCAAATCAGTAAAATCAGAAATGCAAAAGTGGAGATAACAACAAACACCATGGAAATCCAGGAAATTATCAGACTATTTTGAGAACCTATATTCTAATAAATTTGAAAATCTTGAAGAAATGGACAGATTTCTAGATACTTATGACCATTTAAAATTGAACCAAGAGGATATTAATCACCTGAATAGATCTGTAACACAAAATGAAAGTGAAGCAGCAATAAAGAGTCTCCCAAAAAAGAAAAGTCCAGGACCTGATGGATTTGTTGCTGAATTCTATCAGACCTTTAAAGAACTAATACCAACCCTCCTTAAACTGTTCCAAGAAATAGAAAGGGAAGGAACACTGCCTAACTCATTTTATGAAGCCAGTATTACACTCATCCCAAAACCAGACAAAGACACCTCCAAAAAGGAGTACTATAGGCCAATCTCTTTAATGAACATCAATGCAAAAATCCTCAATAAAATAATGGCAAACCGAATCCAACAACGTATCAGAAAGATCATTCACCACAACCAAGTTGGCTTCATCCCAGAGATGCAGGGATGGTTCAACATACGCAAATCTATAAATGTAATACAGCACATTAACACAAGCAAAGACAAAAAACACTTGGTCATCTCAAGAGATGCAGAAAAAGCCTCCGACAAGATCCAACACCACTTCATGATAAAAGCTCTAAGAAAACTAGGAATAGAAGGAAAGTACCTCAACATTGTAAAGGCTGTATATTGCAAACGTACAGCCAACATCATACTTAATGGTGAAAAACTGAAACCATTTCCTCTAAAATCAGGAATGAGACAAGGGTGCCCACTATCTCCACTCCTATTCAACATAGTACTGGAATTCCTAGCCAGAGCAATTAGGCAAGAAAAAGAAAAGGAATACAAATAGGTAAAGAAACTGTCAAAATATCCCTATTTGCAGATGATATGATCCTATACCTTAAAGACCCAAAAAACTCTACCCAAAAACTCCTAGACACCATAAACAGCTACAGCAAGGTGACAGGATACAAAATCAACTTACAAAAATCATTAGCTTTTCTACACACCAATAACGAACAAACTGAGAAAGAATATATGGAAACAATTCCATTTACAATAGCCTCAAAAAAAAGATCAAATACCTAGGAGTAAACTTAACAAAGGATGTGAATGATCTCTATAAGGAGAACTACAAACCCCTGAAGAAAGAGATCGAGGAAGACTATAGAAGGTGGAGAGATCTCCCGTGCTCATGGGTTGGTAGAATCAACATAGTAAAAATGGCTATACTACCAAAAGCAATCTACATGTTTAATGCAATTCCCATCAAAATCCCAATGACTTTCATCACAGAGATTGAAAAATCTACACTAAAGTTCATTTGGAAACACAAGAGACTGCAACTAGCCAAGGCAATACTCAGCAAAAAGAGCAATGCTGGAGTATCACAATACCTGACTTCAAACTATATTACAAAGCAATAGCAGTAAAAACAGCATGGTACTGGCACAAAACAGACATGAAGACCAGTGGAACAGAATAGAGTACCCGGATATGAAGCCACACAGCTATGCCCACCTTATTCTTGACAAAGGTGCCAAAAACATATGATGGAGAAAAGACAGCCTCTTCAACAAATGTTGCTGGGAAAAGTGGTTATCCATCTGCAAAAAACTGAAATTAGATCCATGTTTATCACCATGTACTAGTATGAACTCAAAATGGATCAAGGACCTTAAAATCAGACCCAAAACTCTGAAGTAAGTACAAGAAAGAGTAGGGAATACTCTGGAAGTAAAAGGTATAGGCAAGGACTTCCTCAATAGAACCCTAGCAGCTCAGCAACTAAGAGAAAGGATGGACAAATGGGACGTTATAAAATTAAAAAGCTTCTGCACAACAAAGGAAATGATCTCTAAGCTGAAGAGAACACCCACAGAGTGGGAGAAAATATTTGCCAGCTATACATCAGACAAAGTACTTATAACCAGAATATACAGAGAGTTTAAGAAACTAAACTCTCCCAAAATCAATGAACCAATTAAGAAATGGGCAATTGAACTAAACAGAACTTTCTCAAAAGAAGAAATTCAAATGGTCAAAACACACATGAAAAAATGCTCACCATCTCTAGCCATAAAAGAAATGCAAATCAAAACCACACCAAGATTCCACCTCACCTGTTAGAATAGCCATCATCAAAAACACCACCAACAGGTGTTGGTGAGGATGTGGGGAAAAAGGACTTCTTGTACACTGCTGGTGGGAATGCAAGCTAGTGCAACCACTCTGGAAAAAGATATGGAGGCTTCTTAAAAATCTAAACATAGATCTGCCATATGATTCAGCAATCCCATTCCTGGGGATATACCCAAAGGAATGCTACACAGATTACTCCAGAGGCACCTTCACACCCATGTTTATTGCAGCGCTATTCAGAATAGCCAAGTTATGGAAACAGCCAAGATGCCCTGCTACTGACAAATGGATCAAGAAAATGTGGTATTTATACACAATGAAATTTTACTCAGCCACAAAGAAGAATTAAATTTTGTCTTTTGCAAGTAAATGGATGGAACTGGAGAACATCATTCTGAGCAAGGTTAGCCAGGCTCAGAATACCAAAAATTGTATGTTCTCCCTCATATGCGGACTTTAGATCTAGGGCAAACACAGCAGTGTTGTAGGACTTGGGTCACATGCTAAGGGGACAGCACATATGGGAGGTATAGGGATAGGTAGGAAACCAAAAACATAAAAGTATTTGATGTCCCCACTGCAGAGGAACTAATACAGAAACCTTAAAGAGACAGAGGTCAATATGGGAAGGGGATCAGGACCTAGTGAAAAGGTCAGGTAGAGATGAATCAACTTGGGTTGTAACACATTTGCACATGGAAGCAATGCTAGGAATCTCTCTGTATAGCTGTCCTTATCTCAACTAGCAAAAACGCTTTGTCTTTCTTATTATTGCTTATGTCTTCTCTTCAACAAAATTAGGGATAAGGGCAGAACAGGGATTTGCCTGTAAGCGAGGGTGGGTGGTGGGGAGAGAGACAGGTGGGGGGCAGGGGGCAGGAATGGTCCAAACAATGTATGCACATGTGAATAAATGAATAAAAAAATTTTAAAAAAACCAATTAGTTAACCCCAAATAGGAGGGTCTATTTCTGGATTCTCAATTCTAGATGGAATCAATATTCCATTGATTTATATGTCTTTCTAGTACCAGACTATCTCAATTACTATAGTTTTTTTTTTTTTCTTCAATACTGGGATTTTAACTCAAGTTGTCATGCTTGGGGAGCTTTACCATTTGATAGTATAACTTTTTAGTAAGTGTTAAAATCAGGAGGTGTATTTCAACTTCTTTTTAAATTTTGTCTTTTTGAGACAGGGTCTTGCTATGTAGCCCATGCTTGCATTGAAATCATGATCCTCCTGTCTTCTCCCAAGTGCTGGGATCACAAGAATGCACCACCATGGCTGACTTGTTTTTCTTTTTCCAGATTATTTTGGCTATTTTGGGTCCTTTGAATTTTACCATCTGCTTACCAATTTTTGCAAAGAAAGCAACTCAAATTTTGATGGACATTGCATTTCCACTTTGCTTTTTGATGACACTAAAAAATGCATGTTAGTTTACATATATATTTCTTTCTCTCTTTTGTCTTTTGAGACAGGATCTTGGTATGTAGTCCAGGCTGACTTTGAACTTTAAATCCTGCCTTCACCTCTGGAGTGATGGGATTACAGGTACTTGCCACCACACCTGGCTTCCCCCCATCCTGACCACAGTGCTGAGGATGAACCCAGTGTCTCTCAAATGGTAGATAAGTACTCTACCACTGAGCTACATCCCCAGCTCTGCTAATTTGTGTTTCTTTCTTTTTTGGTGGGACTGGTGTTTGAACTCAGGGCTTTGTGCTTGCAAAGCAAGTGCTCTACCATTTGAACCATACCTCCAATCCATTTGCTCTGGTTATTTTGGAGATGGGGGGTCTCTTAAATTAGTTGCCCTGGCTGTCCTAGAAAAGAGATCTTCCTCAGCCTTCCAAGTAGGTAGCATTACAGGCATGAGCCATCAGTGCTGGGTTACTGCTAGTTCATATTTCTATTATGAAATTTCACTTGAAAAATGATCCCAAGTTTTCCCCTTTAAATAACTGGCAAATTTAAATGACATGTTTATGTTGGACATCACATATAAACACATGGTTTCAGTTTGTTTAAAGATTTTATTTCCAACAGATGTTACAGCTTATTTGTCATAAAAATCATCAAAATCATCAGTGGATGTGTTATGGTTTTTAGGACGTAAAGCAGCTTCAATTTCTGAGTTACTGTCGTCAGACTCCCCCCAGAAAGCTGGAAGAGAAAAACACAGCTACTTAACACCTCTGCATTCTGATTAAGAATTTTCAAAACAGAAGTGCAAGACTGGTTAATTGGAACACTGGCTTGCAAAAGACCTAACAAGGATATCACATGATTGATGTACCTGACCAGACCAGGCACACCAGGAGTGCAAGTTAATGTTATTTCAGTGTGTTCTATGCATTGTTAGGGAATACTTCATTTTCCCTTCTGTTGTTTCCAACTCTTTATTATAGGATAGAGATTTAAAAATCAGGGTTAACCTGGAAACATGGTTACCTGGAATACTTTATCAGGCCTGATACCAACCACCTCAGCTCAGCTGTTCTTTACTTTAATCTTCCTTAGTTCTTTAAGAGAGCAGAGCAGAGAAGGGAAAGACATGGTAGAAGAAGAAGCAGTGATGATTAGCCTAAGGTAGGACTTTGGATTACTCTATGCTGCTGGAGACCCTCTGAGAGACTGTTCCAATGAAGTATAAGGGAGTGGAGCTACTGTTGTTCCATCATGTCTCAACTCATGGTTGAGAGTTGTTCTCAACCCAGGGCATCAACTCTCTGGTCATGTGTGTTACCCTGTGAGGGATGAATGGCTCCTGTGGTCAGATAAAGCCCTCAGTCAGCGATACATAGCTGCCTGATGTGGGAGGCCACAAGCATGTCAGTGAATTGCAGCTGAGGAGACCTCTAGGCAGTTGACAAGATGTGGTGGGGCACCAACACCATCTACTACCTTGACAGTCTCCACGACATTTACATGGCATTACCTGGCAGCTCTTTGCTGGCTTCTTATAGATTACCTCATTTGATCCTTGCACCAAACTGGCAAGGTAGGTAAAGGGTAGGTATTAATGTCTCCACATTACTGAGCAAATTGAGGCTAAGCAAGGCTAAGTACCTAGCCACAATCACAGTACCAGTGGTGGTCAAGCCAAGAGTTCTATCTAGGTCATATAACTCAAACCCATGTTCTTCATTACCACCCTTAGGGGACAGGAGTTAGGAGACAGGAGTAGAAAGAGCCCTGGCTAGGTAGAGGAGTTGCCACAGGGCCAAGTGGAAGAAGGGTTAGAGGTTAGACTCTCTCTCTGGGCTGGACGTTGGAGGATGAACAGGAGCTCATGAGTTGAGAGGAAGGGAAAGGAACTTTATATAGAAGGAACAGTAGGAGCAAAGGTACAGATGCATAGGTGTGGTGAATACAACAAAGCTGGTTGTGGCTAGACCTAAAGAGGACAGGGCCTTGAGAAAAAACAAAGTGAAAAGTAGGGATGGGGCCCTACTATTAATGTGGAAGGTTTAGATTCTACCCTAGATAATCGGGAGCCCTGGAAATTCTTTTTTTCCCCCTTTATTATTGTGCTGGGTGGGGGTACATTGTGGCATTTACAAAAGTTCTTAAAAAGTATCAAATATATCATACTTAAATTTACCCCCTCCACCATTCTTCTTTATCCCCCATCCCCCAATTCTTGGAACAGTTTTAACAAGTATCATTTTTGCATTTCCATACATGTGTATGCATTTTTTGTACTGTATTCACCCTCCTACCCCCTTTCCCTGCCACCTCCCCCCTCCCTCTGGTGCCAAGCTCCCCCCACCCCCCAGAGATTGTTAAGCAGGAGGGCGAAAGGGTAAATCAGATCTGGGATGCTGGTGGGCAGGTGGGGGCCATCGGGAATTGAACGGAACTGAAGAAGCCGGTGGCTTGTGCTGTAAGTCTGCCACATTACGAGCAATGGGTGCCTGCAGAGCACTCTGGTGAGGATGGGGAGAGGCAAGAAACATTTTGTAGGTAGAATGTACTAGTGTACGTAATTTGTTAATTAGATATGGAGGCTAGGGTCCCCTGCAAGTCCACACTTGGAAATTAAATTGCTCTGATGCTGTAGCCTGTGGCACTTGTATGGCGCTATCACTGAATATCATGCCCCCAGAAGCCCTCAGACCCCACTCATGGACAGTTACAAGGGATGCCCAAGGAATCACAGGCATACTTCACAGTCATAAAGATACAGGAGACTAATATATGCCACAACAACAGTTTTTGGTTAAAATGAAAATTGGTGTCCAGTTATTTCTCTTACCATTTGACCTGAAATTGATCACTAGTTTCTTTTCATTTTCATGCCTGTAAAATAAGAAAGAGTGAAAAAAAATGACAGCCAGCATAATAGTTTTACAAGAGCTGTTAGGGAAAAGCGCTGTTACTCCCTGGAAGGTGAGAAGCTTTACTTTCCAGACTCCATTTGGCCAGAGGTATTTGCTGATGCTTTGGTGGAAGCATTGCTACTGCAACACATCACCAGGGTTCTCTGTGTGTTCCCCTTCATCCTGTGTGCCCTGTGTGTTGTGGTTTCTTGCTGGAGGATGATCACACAGGCAGAGGATAATTTCTGCTCAATAGTCCTTTGGAAAACAATATGTATGAAGCTTCACTGCTTTTAGAAAAGCTGAAAGTAAAATACCTGAAGCACAGAACTGAAGATGTTAGAATGGAAGGAGATGTTGCTAAGGACATTAAAATACTTATCTCAGTCGAGCCAGTGACTGCATGCAATACTAACAGTTTAACAAAGGAGGTTACAAGAAACACATTATAGAAAATTACTAGTGTCGTAGATACCTTCATTTAGCTTTTAAGGTATCAAATATACAAAAATGCTAGAGTCTATGGCATCTAGTACCTAATGACTTCTCTGCTAAAGACAACAGGACAAGAAAACTTGCTTTGTGGGGTGAGTTTTTAGTGTGCCTTTTCAGGAGCTTTTGCAATTTTAATGAATTAAACAATCCCCTTTGGGGGCATCATTAATTTTTTTGGTGGTATTGGGGTTTGAACTCATGGCCTCAAACTTGTTAGGCAGCTGCTCTACCACTTGAGCCACTCTGCCAGCCCTTATTTTTTCATTATTAGTATGATTCTTAAACTCTTGATGGCTTGTGCTGAGGGGGTCAAAAGGAGACATTAGGAAAGAAACCATTATTTGTATACTAGGCACCACTACTGCTCTTCCCATGGCCAGGACTCTGCTCCTCTTGACGTAGGAAATCCTGCAAATTAATGTTTTCCTTCCATTTGGGCTAAGTCTGGTTAACCTACAGCTTAAGACATCTGCCTTCTGTCACAGTTGCCATAATTTCCTTTTTTTCTCCCAGAAAATCAAGCTCCACTGAGGTACCATTTTCTGGGTCCACTATCTGGTAACATTCCCTTGAAATTTAGTGCAACGACACAAAGAGCAGAAGACTCCTATGACCATCTGAAAGGAGCTAGCAGCTCTAGAAAAGAAAAAAAAAAGGGCTCATATAGTGATGCAAAGATGGCATGTGAAAATCATCCATCAAAGTGAGTGTTTGCAATTGTTCAACTCATCAAAAGCAGGTGAGACTGCAGCAAGGTCATGTCCCACTGTGTTGGTGACCCACTGAGCATGTCAGGGACTCTATCACTCTGCACAGAGCATTCTAGACATTACATGTCTCCATGAGGCCAACTGAACTTACCTTTGCTGTTTGTCCTGTGGTTATATGGTGTCGCTTTGAGAACATTTAAGCCACAAGGAGCCAGTAAACACACCAGTGAAGTGTGAGTTAACTGTACAGGGGTTCTTAATTGCATGTTATTAGTATTCTCACAAGAAACACGTTTCAGAATTACATGTACCATAGTTTACCCACTGAGAAATGTGGAAGATGATGTCAAGAATTTTCTACTCTATACTCATACATAAGAAGCAGTTATTTTTTCCTTTGGGAACTCATCTCTAAAAGCCAATATGATACTACAATTTAAGATCAAATTTTTTTACACACAATTCTTCGGGTCAACATTTCTTTCTCTGAGTCACACCAGAGAAATATGAGATGTTAACATAGGGCTAATAGGCACAGAGGTAGAACTTTCCTTGGAGTGCTGGATAGAACCAACTAGCTTAATTGCTATAGTCAATGAGAGAAAGACAAAACCAAATTCACTTCTGAAAGCACAAGAAATACAAGAATTAAAGTTATAGACAATGAGATATGGTCACTACACTCCACTACATGTGCTTGGACCTTAATTATCAAAACTCTCTATCTTAAGACAGAGGTTGGCAAAGGAGTTCTGTAAAGAGCCACATAATAAATACTTTATGCTTTGTAGGCCATATGACCTGGCCCAATTACTACACTGCACCAGGAAATCAGCCATGGATAATATATAAACTAATGGACATGGCTGTTTTGCAATGAAACTTCATTTAACATTGAAATTTGAATTTCATATACTTTTAGGTGTCATGAAACTTCTTTGGACTGCTTTTTCTAACCATTTAAAAGCATAAAAACCACTCTTAGTTTCTGAGTTGTATAGAACCAAGCCTAGGCTTGGCCCAAGAGCTGTCATTTGCTGAGTCTTTTGCAAAGCACTGCTGTGACACACATGCAGCAAATCAGGACTACCTTCCCCCTGCATAGTATTTCATGGATAACTCTTGGAACACAAAACAGAAACCTGGCATTTTTTCTCTAAAGGCTTACAGTTAGACTGGATGTCCCATTTAAAATAAGCCATTTTCAGGTAAGATGCCATGGGGGAATGACTAAGTAAGTTAAAATGGAACCATTGGTTCTGCTGGTATCATTAGAATGGACAATTATCTCTGAAGAATTTCCCAGTAGGTTTGGTAATTTTGCCCCCTAATCATAAGGGGAATACCATGTACCTACCCATCAGGAAGATGCTCAATGATTAACATTTGGCCATACTGGTTTTATCACATATCTTCTGCCTATCCATCAGGCCATCCTATTTTCTGATGTATTTTGGTAACTGTTTATGAAATCTTCTGCTACTGATAAACAAGGTTAGGACAATTGTAATCAAAGCTTCGTTCTTTGTACTCACCCTTGTTAAACTTACATAGGCTTCCTCTAAGAGCAGCCCAGCAGAGTGAACACTCCACACATAAAATCATGGTAACACCGCACACTAATGAAACAGTAGAAGTTATGTGTGTCAGTTGTTCACTTTCCATGAGTGAAAGGCTGATGTAGCCAGAAACAGACTATGCAGTTAACATAAACACAAAATTACATGGTATGGGTGACTGCAAGTATTAAGTTTTGATTTGTGGGGTTGGCTCAAGCTATAAGGTTCCTGCCTAGCACGAAGCCCTGAGTTCATACCCTATCACCACATAAAAATAAATTTAAAAAGTTTTGCTTTGTGGAGCTGGCAAATAGATTTTTTTTTAAAAAAGAAGCATAGAAAACCTACAGCTAAGAAATTCACTATTAAATTAGAACAGAGCATTTATGGACTATCAATCCAGAGCTTCACTGTGTGGGTGAGTCGAGCTCAGAGGGGTTAAAAGATAAGTCCCAATATACAGAGAGCCAGCCAATAGCAGAAATGGAAGAACATGCTCTTTGCTACACTCTTATAAAAGCTCAAGTTGCAAACACCTGTCTTGAGAAAAGCAATAAAATACCCAGGAGAACCCTGGGTAGAACAATTGGGTCCCTACCACAATGTGTGACTGATTGTGTGAGTTCAGTCTTAGCTTCCAATGCTCAATCTGCTTACAATGTGGCCCTGGACAAGTTCCCTCCCTCTCTAAGCATCAGTCCTCTTGTTTGTAAAATCAGCAATGTCTTCTAATGTTCTGATGACTGTAGAGATGATCCCATGTGAGAGTCTGTGTAAGGCAGGCTTCAGTATGCAGAGGTGCTACTGTTGGAGCATTTGGATGAAAAAAGGGCCCCGCTTGGTCTGGTGATGGGCAGATGTGCATTCTTAGTGGAGAAGAAGAGTCCTCATGCAAAGGAAAGTTTAAGTTTGGGACAGACTGAAAGGAGATAGGTCTGATATGCATGTTTACTTCTTGAGTGGCCTGACCTCTAGGAGTACTTAGGATGACCTAGTAGGCCCCCAGAGGAGTAAAGCTGCCTTAGCCAGGTCTTCCTCAGGGTGGGTTAAGTTTGCTTATTTATGCATTTAGTTATTCTGAGCAAATACAAAAATATATTATAAAGGGAGTCAGGCTCCAGGCTGAGGTGGCAGGAGTGAACAAAACTGACTCAATCTCTGCTCTCAAGATGCTCACACTCCAGGGAGAACACAGACACCAAAATAATAATTGTGACATAAGCCAAAAGAGGCCAATTGTGGGGTTAGCTGAGAATTGATAGCACAGTTGGCATTATAGGTCCCTGACATGTGCCAGGAGTCTGTACACCCTTGTCAAGGACAGGGCCAAGGACTAGATAGCTCTTCCATCAGCAAACAGGATGGCAGTCAGAAAAGGATGCCAATCACACACACACACACACACACACACACACACACACACACACACACACACACCCATTCATGCAGATAACTATATAGAACTCATAACCCGCTTCAGCTAGGTATGTGATGCCATTCAGAGGTCAGATACTTGTGAAAGTGACTTTTATAAGGAAAAATGCTTGAATGAATGGTGGAACTATGTGTTAATGTTTACTCTTTCAGGAATTTCAGCAGTTATCCAGCTCTGGTGATTAAGAAACAGACCATCCCAAAGAGGAGCTCACACAGGACAGGGAGAAGAAGGTATCTGTAAATGGCTTCTAACTCTCTAGCAGATAATGATAGAAATAGTCATGGGGGCCACAGGAAGGGCATCTGGTAAGGCCATATCCTCTATAATCAGGAAGCCTTTGGAAGGTTGAGTAAAGCTAGGTGAACAGGGGGTAGGGACATTCCAGCAAAAGAATAGGAATAAATGCCAGGACATAGAATGGCATGTTACATCAGGGTATGACATGTGGCCTGGTGCTGTAAAGGATGTTCCATGAACAGAGGATTTGGGAGAGCAGGCTGGCAAGGGCACTCTGGGTGTAGCTGCTCCATGTTGGAGATGGGGGTGCACAGGACCTTCTGGGATACTTAGAGCAGCAGAGGTAAAGCAGACCTAGGAGATGACCCAGTGTTAATGATGCATTGACTCTCAACATTATGTATATTTTTTTTTAACACAGAAAAAATATCCACAGCCCATTAACAAAAATACCCAAGTTACTGTGATTTTGAGACCGTATCAGTGGAGTCTGGCAATTGAGACTCTTGGGGGTCCTGCCAAAAGCACAATCTGTGGTGCTGGGGACAATGAGAAATGGCTCCCAGTGGGAAGTGTCCTTTCTATTATATTATAAGATTTAACATAACTAACTTATAAGAAGATGTCATCTTGAGGCTTTGAATTCTAAAGTTTTTAATGATTTTGACTGTTATCTAAAATAAGCATTAAAATTTCTCAAATAGCATCTTCGACTGGAATTTTCCTTAAAATGACAACGTTTCTAAGAAATATAAGGCCAGAACATTCCAGAAAGAAAAAAAAAATCCCAATGATCATGCCAACAAATCTCTGTAAATACTAACTTTAAGTTTTAAAGGCTCACCAACCAAAGGCTGAGGCTGTTTTAATTTGACAAAGTCTGAGCGCCCCCTGATGGTTAATTAGGGGTCCTACAACAGATGCCATTTTCAGCTGCCTGGGGTCAACTTGTAAACTTCTTCCATCAAGTAATTAAATGATTGTTCTTATGCAGAAGTGTTCTGTGCAGTAAAAATAACAATAAAAACAATGCGGATTTATGAAAAGAAACGTGGAATACTTAGAAAGTTATTAATTCAGAAGAATTTAAGGCAAATACAGATTGGCCAGAGATGGAGATAGGCACTTTTATTTAAAAACCTTATAGATTTCCAGGAAAAAACTCATTTTTTCCTGGTGGACAATAAATTTCTCGTAACTTTTATATTATCCAAGGGAAAACAGCACAGTGACCAGGCAAGAGAGGATCAGAACATCAGCTACAGGCTGGCGCCCTCCACTGGCCGCTCCCATGGCCACAGGGCTGGCACTGAATGCCACCCACACAGCACTGTCAAGAGTGTGGTAGCTGGGTGACTTCTGCTACCTTCCCCCCAGGCCATTACGTTGCAAGCATGCACTCTTTTTCTTTTGGCAAAAACATTATCTTGATCTGACCAGAAAGCTGAAGTTACAAGCCAGAAACCACTAAGCTAAAGTTACAAGGCAGCCTGCTAAGATATACTCTCGATTGAATAAACGGATCTGGGAGAGTGAAAACCGCTTCCTGGGGAAGGTAAAGCGAGACAATGTTTGCAGAGGAGAGGAAGCTCTGGCATGCACCCCTGAACAAAAGGGAACAAGTGGTCTTTACTCGAAGAACAGCTTCCTATTAGGACTCACTGCTTCGTACATTATTCCTTTCATCCCCACTCAACCACAAAATGATTTTACTGAAGCAAATACAATGGTAGAAAAAGATTTACACTGAAAGAATCTTTAATAATAAACTGTTGCCGATCTGCCTACTTGCCCGTGATTTATAATACAATAAACATTGGATTCTATTACGGCTCATGCACTGAAGCTGCTGCTCTGAAAAATGGAATATGAAAGCACCCGGACCCCACCACCATCACAATGAAACGAGCATGTATAAATGTGCTAAGAGTATCTCTTTGCATCTTTTATAGCTTGTGTGTATTAATCTGTAACGCTTATTAAGAAAGTCATTGCTATGCAAAGCAGCACCCAATCCCTTTCTCTGGCTTTTCAACAGAGTGCACTGTTTAGCCAATAGGACGGACCCTCTGGCCCTCATTCTGCATTCATCACAGGCAACATTTGCACAATGTATCTCTCAAAGGCGGCTGAAAAGAAGGCCTTAATACTCATGTAAACAACTGCAAACCAATTACTTAATGAATCAGGCCCACACATAATGAGGTGCAGACAAAGAACTATAAATGCATTTTTGCGCCCAAGCCGCTGCTTTAAAGTAAAATCCCTCAGCTGTAGTTTGGGCTTAGCTAGCACATCATAATTATTGTCTCTAGGACATCAGAGGAAGCCATTTTTTTCTTTCTTTCTTTTTTTTTTTTAAGGTCCAGTGGGGCTTTTTTTTTTTTTTTGAGGTTGCTCATCAGCTCACTGACAAAATAGAGCAAAGAAGAATTTTTAAAAGTGCTACAGCAGCACTGCACTGTTATGTTTATTCTCAAGTACTGGGTTTTGAGACCACTTGTAAAAGCAATAAAGCACAAGGAGTGACTGCAGTAAGTGGGATCCTTAAATGTAAGCCTCTAAGAAATTTCAGTGAAGCCAGGCACAAACAGCAAGACCAGAGCTCTCCAAAGCCTAGGGTGGGGTGTTAACAATACCAAACCCAGCACAAGAACCAAACTGTGACAAACAGCACGCCAAACCATGCACTTGATGCCCAGACCTTTTCATCACTGGATTATTATCAAGTGTCTAAAACCAAGGGTTCCTGGAAGACCTTTTTGTGGATTTAGGTTTTTTTGGTTTCTTTTTTTCTTAAAGGGGGTGATGAGATTACTTGTAATGCATTAGGAAATTAATTTTATGCAGAACCAACAGTAATAACAAAAGGCCTCTGTCTTAATTTGTATAAAAAAGTTTGATTTTAATTTGGTGAAATATAGACAAGATGTGAAATCATCAGACTGAAAAAATGTTCTATAAAATCTAATTGCTATCTGAATGTATTTAACTATTCCCAAAGAACATATATAAAAGAAAAGTTTAAGACAAATTTGGCTTTTTAATGTCTCTAAAACATAATGGAGACAAACACTTCTAAATAATACACCCTTTTAAAAATGAAAGGGATGTATCATTAAGCCAAATGGTAACATTAAACCCTGAAAACTATTTGTAGAATTTCTGGCCTTTAAAAATTCTTTTAAAAGACTGAGAACTTGAATTTATAGTACAATCGTGACAACATAATACTTCAGCACTCTTCCTAACCCAGTTATTTCCCACTTCCTCTAACAATATGAATGAAAAGTTGGGTATTAAAGACAATAATTTGATAATTAAATAATTGCTTTGGATACTTGTCAAGTTTCTAAAAGTAAGAATTTTAGAAAACTAGCCTCATCTATATATTATAGGTTCTAAAAATATTGCTCTTATAAAATATAAATGAAGGCAGGATTTTCATTTCATTTCAATGTGACATTTGTGGATCAGATCATTTTTATTATGGGACACTATATGTAATATTAGAAATGCAAAGGTCCTGTTTTAAAACTTCATCAGGGTCAAGTAGTAAATTCAAATATAATACATTCATCTAAAGTACATCTTTTTACTGAGCAAAAAGAAAACTTACTGTGCTGTTTTAAACGACATTTAGCCCAAAGTTTAAAGGGTAGGCATTTCATCAAATGATTGCTTATACTCCCATTTATAAATTCGCTTTATGACTTGAAGCTACCGCATGTACTGAATATTATTGATAAATTCAGCACAAAAATCACTTGTCAATGATCAAAAAACTTATAAGTGCTACAGTTTAACAGACATGAAAAGATAAATTTTGTTCTTTAAGGATAATAGGTAAGAAAGCATCAGAAAAGGAAAGAGTAATCTAGCCTAAATACTTGGTAAAAAGAATACAAAAACTAATACTCAGCAATTGCTGGTTTATATATCAGTCATCTCAGAAAAAAGAAACATGGCACTTTATTTCTTTTAAGGCCTGATGTTTTCTCTCTGCCCTTTTTCTGACAACCTCCATTGTGTGGTCTCTAAGCAGTCCTACTGCGAGCAGCTGTAGACGCTAATTTGTGGTTCACTGAGGTGTCAATTGAGTCTTAAACCCGGGAAACAACAGCTGCAAAACAATACTTGGCTCTGGTGCAAATATTTTCAAAGGTAGACTAAAGTTTCAACTGTTATTTTAGATAAACAAAAGCCCAAACACAACCCTCCATCACACAACAAAATAATACGCAGCTAAGTTTAATTCATTCCATAGTGACATTTCTCATCTTGTTGCTGCCATTCAGAAACTTTCATGACTTTACCTTGACAAAGAACTTCCTTCACTAGATGAAAAATTAGCTTCCGAAACAATTTTGTGAGTTGTTCTTGTCTTGAATGTGCTGCTGTCAATGTTCGAACCTGTAATAAGCACAAACATGGAGCGTGAGCCTTAGTTTTCAGGCAGCAATAAAACAAATGGATGAAAAACAGCCTCCCAGGAACTTTGGTAAAACAAATGCCAACAGAGGAAGCTGCTGCTTAAGCCACACAAGGCATGAGCTTTTGGGGCCTCATTTCTCAAAAGCTCCTAAGATAGAGGTTTTGAGAGCTCTATTTTAAATGATCAATATGTACACATAAGCACTGGGTCTTTACTGTGGCACACTGTACTAGATTGTTATGATACATGGGCAGTAACGGCTCACCAAGATAATGGGTGCTGGGAACCAAGTCTCAGAAATAATGGACACTCCTGGATGACAGTTACCCTTCCCACCCACTCTTAAACCCCTATGCCAAATCCTCTATTTTCCATTCCATAGAGACTGAATTTCCACTGAAAACTATCAAGGCCACTCTCTCAGCCTGAAAAGGTTGAGGAAGACGATTTACAATACACCTCTCTTCCTGGAGCTGGGTTAACTGGACTGTCCCCACTATTCCCAGCTCATGGGGAATTTTCTGATCCCTTCCTTCTGGGTGCCCTCAGCCTTGGGTAGTTCTTAACTGGTAGTCACCCTAGATCCCAAATAGAGAGTGTATGGACAGCTTTGCAACAGCATTTGCTGAGTTTCTAACCTGCAACCCATTTGCCTGCACATAACAACCTCTGAAGCAAAGCAATTCTCTTAACAATGTGTCCACATTCAGCCCGAGAGGGTCGCTGCATGTTTAACAGGCCAAGGACTTTCGGGTATGAAAACTAAGGCTCAAGGCGTAAGTGGCTTTCCTTAGTGACAGATCTAGGAGCAGAGACCTAAAACACCTGACTAAGAAAATAATTGAAACATGCACTGCTTCTTCAATAGTTAAAAGTGGGGGTGGGATCCTAAGTTCAGAGCACACATCCCCACCACTATCTTCACTTCATCCTACCAGCTGGCCTTCTGCTTCTCTTTGAAGCTCAAAGAAGTCCCCAGGATCAGAGGGTAAAGACAAAAAGGTAATGTATAACTGAATGGAAAAAAGAGTACCAAGGCAAGGCAAGATCTAACTACAATGACAGACACACCATCAGAATTTCTTGTGTGATTTAAATGCCAGAGAACTTGGGATCTTGCAAAGCACAAGGTGTTATCTTGAGTATGAAATGAGAGAATTGACTATAGGGTACTTGACTATACAATCTATAAAGTGTCATTTCACTTATGAATAAATTAATAAAAATAAACTAATTATTAGCATTTTTAATAGTACTATATATTTTAAATATTTTTAATTTATAGCACACAAATTTTATTTTCTGTGCAAAATTCTATTAAACTAGAAACAAACATGCCCATAAAGGTATTATGGCTTAAAGGAAAATTCTTAATAAAAAATATAAAATACTCAGGCTTGAATAACTATATAAGGACTACATAATAAAAGTTGTGGGATGAAGATAAAGCAGTACCTAGATGTACATTTATAGTTTTGAAATACATTCCAGGAAAAACAAAATTAAAAATGAATGAATGAAACATTTAATACAAAAATAAACCTAGAAGAGATGAGATCATGCATTTAAAGTCCTTTACAAAATGCCTGTCATACAATAACTATTCAATAAAAGGAAGCACAGATGTTCCTCAACTTGCAATGGGTTTATATTCCAATAAAGCTATCATCAGTTGAAAATACATTTAATGTAGCTACCTACTGAACATCATAGCTACTAACACTGCACTGCACAGTACTGGGTGTTTACCCCCATGATCATGTGGCTAACTGGGAGATGGTCTCACTGCTACTGCCCAGCATTAAGAGAATATCATCCTGCATATTGATAGCCTGGGAAAAGATCAAAATTCAAAATTAAAAGTACAGTTTCTACTGAATGCATGCCACTTTTAAAAATATTTCATTTGTACAAATTTATGGAGTATAATTAATAATTAGATATATGTGTATTGTGTAATGGTATAATCAGGGCAGTGAACACTTCCATCTCCTAAACATTAAAACATTATTTGACTAGCATGTAATAATTATATATATTTAAGGGATACAATGTGATATGTCAATACATGTATACAATATATAATGATGAAATTAGGGTAATTAACATTTCCATCTCCTTATCATTACTTTGTGTTTGAAGCTTTTGAGCTGGTTTCTTCTAGTTATTTATAAAATGTATAATAGGTCATTGTGGACTATAGTCCCCCACTGTTCTGTAGAACACTAGAACTTGCTACTTCTATCTAACTGTGTTTGGGGTACCCATTATCTATCCTCTCACTATTTTGTTTTCCTAGCTTCTAGTAATCACTATTATACACTCTGAAGAACTTTTTTTTTAACATTCACATGTGGGCTAGAACACAAGGAATTTGTCTTTCTGCATCTGACTTATTTCACTTAACATAATTGTTTCCATTCCGTCCATTTTTGCTGCAAATGATAGAATATCATTCCTTTATGGCTGAACAAAATTCTGTTGTGTATATATACTATATTTTCTTTATCCATTCATCTGTTGATGGGCATCTAGGTTGATTCCACATCTTAGCTATTGTGAATAGTGAGCATGTATCACTTTTGCACCACTGTAAAGTTGGAAAATCTAAGTTTAGCCACTGTAAATAAGGGGCCATCAATACTTAATAAGAGAAATTATAGCTGTTATTCAATCCATAACTTTCCAATCAAAAGAGTTTTTTCTTTCCAGGATGAAAGCAGATTTCATAAGAAAGAGTGCCACAACAATACAGCTAGTTCTGTGCCTGGGACTATTCTTTTTTGTTTTTATTTTCGTTTTTTTTCTTGAGATAAGGTCTTACTATTTGTAGCCCAGCCTGGCCTTGAACTCATGATCCTCCTGCCTCAGCCTCTCAAGTGCTGGGATTACAGAAATTCACCACTATGCCCAGTCAGAAATTAATTTTTAAACAGTTTTGCATAGTACGATAATATTCCAAAGAGATAAATTCTCTAGCCTAGGTTAGTCTCTTCTGATTCTATTAAATCTAAACACATTCTTCACTCATCGAATGACTAAAACTGGAACCCAGAGCTCAGCAGTGACATTATATGCTTCAGAAGCTAAGTCCCTAAAAGGAAGCTGCCCTTGGAAAGACCTCATTAACACTCAGGGATTCTAAGTTCTTTTGAAGCCTCTTTTTGGAAGGAAGCAGAGATTATCAGTTTTCCTAAAGGTGCTGTTGATATGTTACTTCCTTAAAATTATTCTTCAGAAAAGACTGTGGCCTTAGATATATTCTTAGTTACACAGTGTCTTTTCAGTAACTATACTTTTGAATAACAAAAAAAAATTGGGGAATACACAAAATCCTCAAAGGAACTCAATCGATGCTATTTTTAGACTGCTAAATTCATCACTTGACAGAATTTGTAAAAAAGGATGCCAAGAGATCATTAGTAGTATTTCATTAGTAGCATTTGACTTTTCCATCTGTATTATTTGAAGTTTATATGTTCAAATTGGGCCCCCAAAGTTTTTTTGGTTCAATCTTCTCATTTGAAAAAAGAAAAAAAGTCTAGTTTTCAAGGGTGACTTTTGCTTGGGCATATATATTTTCTGTAAAAGGAAAAAAGGTGATGAGGGTCCCTTTCCCTGTACATCCTATCCTGGCTCAGAAGGCTACCTGAGCAGAAGACAACAGCTTACACTTAAACCTGCTTTAGTTTGTACCTCTTTGGGTGGGTATGTTCTTGGTGTTCAGGAGTACTAGCACAGTGGAACTATTGCCCTCACTGACCTATGAGGAGTTAACTACCTGGTTCTTACTAAGAATGCTGGGCAGCCCCTAGGTATAGGTCTTGGGAGGGGTTGGTTCTGCCATCAGAGTAAAACCAGCCTCTGCTGCATCCTGTCCTTGCCATTTATCTCTCCAGTGCTCCTTGGGGTTAGAAGGGAATGCTCTGTTGCTCCCTTTAGACAAGTGAAGAAACTATACAGCTGCAGATTAATGACAGAAAAGGAGATCTACCCTTTGGGTTATTGCTCACTGATAAGGAAGAATTATGGGAAAGGATGTTCTGTTCCCAGGGCCCTCACCTCCTCTTCCTGTACTCACTCCCTCTCTGAACAAATCTGCTTCTTTGTGGGGAAAAATGAACATAATCAATCCCATCCCTCCTTTCTTCCAGATACTTGCAGCATCTGCCACACCTTCTTGGCAATCAGACAACCTGAATACAGATAGCTCAGAGCATCTGACTCTTGAGTGTCCACTAAGGGGCTCTGTACAGTGCTTGGTATCTGGAGTGTCATGAGGAATGAGGCATGCTTCAGCTGGTTCTGATGCATCAGAAGTACATCCCTTGCAAACATATCTGTCTGAAGAAGATATCTTTGAGACAACTGGGAAATCTGAATTATATGATATTAGGTAATCACTGTCCAACTCTGAAAGGCAAAATTATGGCACATAAAAATAAAAATAAAGCCATTAATGTGTATTTTCTTCTTTATTAATTTTTAAATAAAGGGGGTTGAAGTGACTAATACCTAAAAAAAGAAGGTATAATAAAACAAAAACTATGGAAAAAACAAAAAAAAAAGAAAATTATAAAATTATAATTAAAACAAAATCCTAGATTAAAGGAACCACATTTAAGCTTAACACTTAGCTTTCCTGGAATTTATAGTTTTTCATTATAACTCAAGATCTCCCAATATTCTAGTTGAGTTGTCAGCCCAGAGTAACACTGCCTTTCTGATGATTAAGAAACCACAAACAAAGCTGGAAGGCTGGGGATGTGGCTATAGTGGTAGGGCATCTGCCTAGCAAGCACAAAAGCCCTGAGTTCAAACCTAAATACCACACAAAAAAATTAAAAAAAAAAAAACAACCTAGGAAACCCTGGCATAGTACACATGCCTATAATCCCAGCTGTGCAGGTAGAGTAGGTAAGAGGATCATGATCCAAGACAGCTAAGAGAAAGAGAGACAGAGAGAGAGAGAGAGAGA